CGGAAGAAGAGTTTTTTTTTTTTAATATTAATAAAATAACAAAATTGATTATTTATTTTTTAAATGTCCCAACCTTTTATTCAGGACTTGAGTTTCTCTTATACATAATAATACCTTGTTTAGCAAAATTTTATCAACTTTTAATCGATCAAACTTCAAATTTGATTATACAGTTTGAATAATTCTTAATTTTTTTTAATTAATTTCTCAATCTCATATTTTATCAATTTTTATCAAAATTTACTCATTTTTTCTTAACTTATTTTTAATTATATATTTTCTGAATAAAATAATTTTGCACGGGAATTTTTATTTGTTACTACTTTTTAATCACTCAATATTAAAAAAAAATTATTTTTTCACAAAATCACGTCTCAAACAAGAGCACTTAAAATAATTTGCCAAACTAATCCATATCTACGTGACCGTTATTGACATATTGTTGATGCACAGTAACTAAAGTGGGAAAATTTTCAAATTTTGAAATTTAAAATTAACCCATTTAGAACGTTTCCATTTTATTTAATTCCTTCGATGATACCCACGAGTACAGGTGATTTTCTAATTAATTTGAATTATTTGTTTTTGTAATTGTTATGTTGTTTGTTGCCCAAGGATAATCCTGCATATTTATTTATTTATTTATTTATTTTTTGTAATTTTGGAATTTTCAGGCACGTTGTTCTTCCACCAGAAGTGGCTAAACTGCTTCCCAAGAATCGTCTTCTTGTGAATTTTGATGAGTATAAATATAATTGGTAAGCTTTTTGTGAATAAATATTGGAAAAATTGCTCAATTCTTGATTCAATTGCTGCATCCTATCAAGTTTTTACTATTTTCTGTGAAACTCAATAGAGGATCATTTAATGCTGTTTATATTTATTATTTACGAAAGAATCATTTACATGTTTAAATCGCATAAGCCCAACTTTTGAACTATATAGTGTAAATTCCAAATAAAATTTCCATCCCCTGACCCCTTATTCATGAAGAGTACATTCGTTCTTTGTCCTTCCTTGGTTTTTCTATTACTTTGTTAATATCTTCGACTCTCAATTTTAAGCTTCTCTTTACCTTTTCAGAAGTTCAAATGGTTTGTATCAATTGGACGAAAATGTTCCAAATTAACATAATTGAAGTCATAAATAAAAGTAATCTTGCTAATGATCTAAGATAATACAATTCCTGTTTCCTAGAAGTCTTGATTGGTGAATTTGTATCAGATGTTATTGACTCCAAATGCATCGGAAAAAAANAAAAAAAGAATTAGCGTATATTTTCCTATTTCAGCTTGAATGTTTCTTTATCCTTAAAGAACCATTTGAAGACCATGTCCAGATTTTTGGCTGCAGATGTTTTGAAAGCCCTTAGCCATGTTTTGTTGAGTAGATTGGAGAAAAGAAAGTTCAAAATCTTATTATGTTGTCCGCTCAATCCATTAGCGTGTACCAAATGTGCCTTCAAATTTATGGCAGAAAACAAAGGAAATGATCAATAAATGTGCAACAAAAACACCAGGATTGTGGAGCATCACCAGAAGGAAGCTACTCATCACCCTCTTCCGGCCAATATGTTTCAAGTATCCTCACGGCCATTTCGCATACTCTACTGT